GACAGTAAACCGGCCCTTCGTTTTATAAAGTTTGGAGACCCCCGCAGTAAGGGAACGCAGTATCCAAAACGTGAAGCCTGGAGTCGGGCTTTGATCCAAACCACACAACTTCTTCTGAGTGCAGCCGCGGGCGCTCAAACACCTAAATCCGCGGCGGCTTGGTGCGGTCACGCCTTCTTCCTACGAACAATGTAACAGCGACAGGAAATAAAGGAAACGGTTTAGTTCTTTGTGTGAAAATGTTGTACGCAAATATAGCGGCGTTGACCGCCGGAGTGGTGGAAGGATTAGGATGGCGATGGTGCAATCCAGCGCGGTTACAATGAATAGAATATCATGTAATCACAATTTTAATTTTACAAAGTAAAAAAATTAAAAAATTTTTTGGAGTAATTTTTCAACCTTTTATCATCTCAGGTTGAAAAATTACTACTACTGGTCTACTACTCTACATCTATTCCTCAATAGCCACAAAGGATATAAATCTATTTCGCGTGCATCAAATGCCTTTGCAAACCCAGATATTACCTTGTAAAAGTAACAGTGAGATCATCACTGTGCTGCACAGTCTGTGCACAGAGCAGAGCTGTGGGAGGGGCCCAGCTGCAGAGGGGGGGCGGAGACAAGACCAGTCAAACTGCACAAGGAGAGAGAGCAGCAGTAGGTGACCGGTCTGGTCTCCACCCCCTCCTGTACGTTTCTACAGCTGGGCCCCTCCCACAGCTCTGCTTCCTCTCCTTGTGCAGGGGACTGGTCTGGTCTCCACCCCCTCCTGTAATCTTCTGCAGCTGGGCCCCTCCCACAGCTCTGCTTCCTCTCCTTGTGCAGGGGACTGGTCTGGTCTCCACCCCCCTGTACGTTTCTACAGCTGGGCCCTCCCACAGCTCTGCTTCCTCTCCTTGTGCAGGGGACTGGTCTGGTCTCCACCCCCTCCTGTAATCTTCTGCAGCTGGGCCCCTCCCACACTCTGCTTCCTCTCCTTGTGCAGGGGACTGGTCTGGTCTCCACCCCCTCCTGTAGTCTTCTGCAGCTAGGCCTCTCCCACAGCTCTGCTCTCTCTCTCCTTGTGCAGGTGACTGGTCTGGTCTCCGCCCCCTCCTGTAATCTTCTGCAGCTGGGCCCCTCCCACGACTGCTGCTTCCTCTGCAGAATGTGCAGGGGACCCTGGTTTTCTGGGCCTCTCCGCCTGCTCCTGTAGTTTTCTGCAGCTAGGCCCCCTCCCACAACTCTGCTTGTCTCTCCTTTGTGCAGAATGACTGGTCTGGTCTCCGCCCCCTCCTGTAGTTTTCTACAGCTGGGCCTCTCCCACAACTCTGCTTGTCTCTCCTTGTGCAGAATGACTGGTCTGGTCTCCGCCCCCTCCTGTAGTTTTCTACAGCTAGGCCTCTCCCACAACTCTGCTTCCTCTCCTTGTGCAGGGGACTGGTCTGGTCTCCGCCCCCCCTCCTGTAATCTTCTGCAGCTAGGCCTTTCCCACAGCTCTGCTATCTCTTCTTGTGCAGAATGACTGGTCTGGTCTCTGCCCCCTCTTGTAGTTTTCTACAGCTGGGCCCCTCCCACAACTCTGCTTCCTCTCCTTGTGCAGGGTGACTGGTCTGGTCTCTGCCCCCTCCTGTAGTCTTCTACAGCTGGGCCCCTCCCACAACTCTGCTTCCTCTCCTTGTGCAGGGGACTGGTCTGGTCTATGCCCCCTCCTGTAATCTTCTGCAGCTAGGCCTTTCCCACAGCTCTGCTATCTCTTCTTGTGCAGAATGACTGGTCTGGTCTCTGCCCCCTCCTGTAGTCTTCTACAGCTGGGCCCCTCCTACAGCTCTGCTTTCTCTCCTTGTGTAGGGGACTGGTCTGGCCTCCGCCTTGTCCTGTACTTTTCTACAGCTGTGCCCCTCCCACAGCTCAGCTTCCTCTCCTATATCCTTTGTGACTATTGAAGAATACATTCATATGAAGGCTTAGGCTACCCCATGTCCCAGGCCAACCAATCAGATCATATTGACGGCAGTGGATCAGCATGACAGACGTATTTCTCTCCGCACAGCGTTTCAGAAACCTGGGCAGAAAAAAAACGACATCCCTGCCTGTGATTTTGGAAACTGCATTTTCGGGTGCCGTTATTTCCTAATGACACCCCAAACGTGGATAAGCCGTCCCATGTTTGTGTGAAAAACGCCCTTGGCTTGGCCAACCAAAGTTACTTGAGCTCCTTTGGCACATTTGTCGCGTATAGGGAATAGGGATTCAGGTGGATGGGCTTCCCTATGCTGTCGTCGGACAAACACGCTTAAAAAAGCGGCGCGTCACGCGGGATTAAATGGGGCCTTAAAAGCGTCACAGGTTTGCTTTAAGGGCCAGTTCACACTGTAGAAACGCAGTCCAGATGTGTTACAGATGCGTTTCTGCATGCGCATTACTGTGCATTTTTGATGCGTTTTTGACATGCTGTGGTGCATTTTTGATGCATTGCAGTTCCTTTTTTCCCCTCGCTTTTTCTTCAATTTAAATAGGGAGTTCCAGTGTGTTCCGGTGCGTTTTACTGTGTTCCAGTGCAGTTCTGTGCAGGAAAAATGCATCTTTTTTTTTTTTTTTTGCTGCATCCGAAACACACTGGAACTATGGGCAGCACAGTGGCTAAATGGTTAGTACTTCTGCCTGGCAGTACTCGGGTCGTTGGTTCAAATCCCAACCATGGCACCACCTGCCTGGAGTTTGCATGTTCTCCCTATGTATGCATGGGTTTCCTCCGGGTACTCTGATTTCCTCCCAAACTCATGCTGGTAGGTTAATTGGCTCCTGTCTAAATTGGCCCTAGTATGTTTATGTATGAATGTGAGTTAGGGACCTTAGATTGTACACCCCTTGAGGGTTATGGACCTTAGATTGTACGCCCCTTGAGGGTTATGGACCTTAGATTGTACGCTTCTTGTAGAGGTTAGGAACCTTAGATTGTACACCCCTTGAGGGTTAGGGACCTTAGATTGTACACCCCTTGAGGGTTAGCGACCTTAGATTGTACACCCCTTGAGGGTTAGGGACCTTAGATTGTACGCCCCTTGAGGGTCAGGGACCTTAGATTGTACCCCCTTGAGGGTTAGGGACCTTAGATTGTACGCCCCTTGAGGGTTAGGACCTTAGATTGTACGTTGAGTGTAGGGACCTTAGATTGTACCCCTTGAGGGTTAGGGACCTTAGATTGTACGCCCTTGAGGGTTAGGGACCTTAGATTGTACGCCCCTTGAGGTAGGGACCTTAGAGTGTACGCCCCTTGGTGGAGGGACCTTAGATTGTACGCCCCTTGAGATTGTACGCCCCTTGAGGGTTAGGGACCTTAGATTGTACGCCCTTTGAGGGTTAGGAACCTTAGATTGTACGCCCCTTGAGTGTAGGGACCTTAGATTGTACGCCCCTTGAGGGTTAGGGACCTTAGATTGTATGCCCCTTGAGGGTCAGGGACCTTAGACTGTACGCCCCTTGAGGGTCAGGGACCTTAGACTGTACACCCCTTGAGGGTCAGGGACCTTAGACTGTACGCCCGTTGAGGGTCGGGGACTGATGTGAATGTACAATGTATATGTAAAGTTCTGCATAAATTGACGGCGATTTATAAGTACCTGTAATAAATTAATCTGCAAGCACTGTGTGAACTATGACACTGACAACCATATCACCTACTTTCTGTGCGTTTTGGATGCAGAAAAAAAAAGCAACTGAAATGCATGGAGTGTGAACTGTCCCTAAATTGAAAAAAAAAATGGCTTCAGAATATATCAGAGAGAGTTCTTGTCCCTCTACGTCAGACTCAAGGCCTAGCACAAGGCAGACGCTCCCTTACTGCAGACAGCGGAGGGCGTTCTTGTCCCTCGGTGCCTGGGCTCAGCCATGTGACATCACAGGAGATCTGCAGCTACATTGTTGCAGAGTCAGGTCAGTAGTAATCCAGGCTGAGAGTTTGGTCAGCTGAGCCACCCTTTCCAAGGTGGGGGTCAGAGAGCCACCATGGGGTGCAACAAGGGGGGCCAGAATGGGACACATTGGCTGCAAAGGGTCTAATATTCAGATGTCTCACTGTGCTGGTTGTTGGCTTTGTACTCCAATTCTGACCACGTCTAGGACTTTGCACCGACCTCCCATTAGCACTGATCATCGTCAAGGTAGACTTGATGACCCGATGGTGGCCTCACGATGTCTCCTTGGCCACTTCAATCCCTAAAAGTGGAACAATGAAAGGGGAACAGATCCTTTCATGCCCAAGAAAACCATAGGAATCATGATATTCGGAGTCCATCTGGCCATGGTAGAAAGAGGACCTCTACCCAACCCAGATCAGAAGACCATCGTCTAATGTCTATGGGAAGGCCGAGCCAAGTGGGAACCAGATCAGACTGATCGTAGACTACGGGGTGTTGGGGAAGGTCGCTCAAAAAGCTGGACCCCATCTTCTGTATTTTCATAACCTGGGTAGTTCAGCCAGAGCTATAGAGACCGATCTACCAGATTGGGGTCCAAAGACAGGACTGCCTCACCATTCCAAACCAAACACAAAACCCATCCTTATGGTACCTTTTGGAGGTTCCAGCCAATATGGTTGTTGGCATCAGGAGATCCTACCCATAGGACATAGGATGGTGGGAGCCCCTCATATTGGGCACAGCGGGTGTACAGACCTGGGAACTCAGCACAGGGATAGTGGGAACCCTCATAATGGGCACAGCGGGTGTACAGACCTGGGAACTCAGCACAGGGATGGCGGGAACCCTTCATAATGGGCACAGTGGGTGTGCAGACCCGGAAACTCAGCACAGGGATGGTGGGAACCTCTCATAATAGGCACGGTGGGTGTACAGACCCGGGAACTCAGCACAGGGATGGTGGCAACCCCTCATAATGAGCACAACGGGCGTATAGACCCGGGAACTCAGCACAGGGATGGTGGGAATCCCTCATAATGGGCACAGCGGGCATACAGACATGGGAACTCAGCACAGGGATGGTGGGAACCCCTCATAATGGGCACAGCGGGTGTACAGACCCGGAAACTCATCACAGGGATGGCGGGAACCCTTCATAATGAGCACAGCGGGTGTACAGACCCGTAAACTCAGCACAGGGATGGCGGGAACCCCTCATATTGGGCACAGCGGGTGTACAGACCTGGGGACCCAGCAAAGCGCTGGTGGGGAACCCCTCATAATGGGCACAGCGGGCGTACAGACACGGGAACTCGGCACAGGGATAGTGGGAACCCTCATAATGGCACAGCGGGCGTACAGACACGGGAACTCGGCACAGGGATAGTGGGAACCCCTCATAATGGGCACAGCGGGTGTACAGACCTGGGAACTCGGCACAGGAATGGCAGGAACCCCTCATAATGGGCACAGCGGGTGTACAGACCTGGGAACTTAGTAAAGGGATGGTGGGAACCCCTCATAATGGGAACAGTGGATGTACCGACCCATGAACTCGGCACAGGGATGGTGGGAACCCCTCATAATGGGCACAGCAGGTGTACAGACCCGGGAACTCAGCACAGGGATGGTGGGAACCCCTCATAATGGGCACAGCAGAGGGGATTGAACGTTTTGGGGGTCCTGTTACACCCCCTCCCAGCATAGTATCTATATATACATTGGCAGCTGTGTATACAGCGCTATCTATATCTTGATTTACTGAATGAAAGTTTTTTTTCCTTGAGTCACATGACAGGAAATGAACTTTGCTCCCCCCACCCTCAGTGAGGTGTCAGGTAGATCGCCGTCCTGTGGTCAGTATATAATAATACAGGACTCAGCTCTATTTAAAGGGTCGGTCCACTTAATACAGCTGATTTGGTTGTGGGCGGAGCCTGACTTTACCATGATGTATAGCTTCATGATTCCCCAATTGTGGACTTACCACTCAGCTTCAGGTAGTCTCACTCCAGCTGCAGCAAGCAATACACATCCATTGAAGGCTCTTGAATGCAGATAAAGGATCCCCGGGTCCTGTGGGTGTAACCAGCATGCTGATAAATCTTTGTGTCCTCAGGTCTCAAAGTGAAGGGTGTAGAAGCCGATAGGTCCTCCATTATGTTCTTCATTTGCATTGATCTTGTTCCTTCCATTTGTCTCCTTTCCAGGTCCACAGCGATGCCCCCGGTGCCCCCTCACAACTTCTCCTGGGTGGAGCCGGGACTCCTGGCTGGCATGGCCATGCCTCGTCTCCCGGCACATTATGAGTACCTGTATGAAAATGGCATCCGACATCTGGTGACCCTGACTGAGAGCAAACCGCCGTACCACGACACCTGCCCGGGAATCACCGCCCACCGCATCCGCATCATGGACTTCTGTCCACCCAGCCTGGAGCAGATCAAGACGTTCCTCAAGATTGTGGACGATGCCAAGGCCAAGGGAGAGGTGAGATGACTCCACTCCTTCCTCTATAACTCTCCTCTCCTGAAATACTCTGCACTGCTGGAGGACTCCTCCCCTTCCTCTATAACTCTCCTCTCCTGAAATACTCTGCACTGCTGGAGGACTCCGCTCCTTCCTCTATAACTCCTCTCCTGAAATACTCTGCCTGCTGGAGGACTCCGCTCCTTCCTCTATAACTCTCCTCTCCTGAAATACTCTGCGCTGCTGGAGGACTCCGCTCCTTCCTCTATAGCTCTCCTCTCCTGAAATACTCTGCGCTGCTGGAGGACTCCGCTCCTTCCTCTATAGCTCTCCTCTCCTGAAATACTCTGCTGCTGCTGGAGGACTCCGCTCCTTCCTCTATAACTCTCCTCTCCTGAAATACTCTGCTCTGCTGGAGGACTCCGCTCCTTCCTCTATAACTCCTCTCCTGAAATACTCTGCTCTGCTGGAGGACTCCGCTCCTTCCTCTATAACTCCTCTCCTGAAATACTCTGCGCTGCTGGAGGACTCCGCTCCTTCCTCTATAACTCTCCTCTCCTGAAATACTCTGCGCTGCTGGAGGACTCCTCTCCTTCCTCTATAACTCCTCTCCTGAAATACTCTGCGCTGCTGGAGGACTCCACTCCTTCCTCTATAACTCTCCTCTCCTGAAATACTCTGCACTGCTGGAGGACTCCGCTCCTTCCTCTATAACTCTCCTCTCCTGAAATACTCTGCACTGCTGGAGGACTCCGCTCCTTCCTCTATAACTCCTCTCTCTGAAATACTCTGCGCTGCTGGAGGACTCCGCTCCTTCCTCTATAACTCTCCTCTCCTGAAATACTCTGCGCTGCTGGAGGACTCCGCTCCTTCCTCTATAAGCTCTCCTCTCCTGAAATACTCTGCGCTGCTGGAGGACTCCGCTCCTTCCTCTATAACTCTCCTCTCCTGAAATACTCTGCTCTGCTGGAGGACTCCGCTCCTTCCTCTATAGCTCTCCTCTCCTGAAATACTCTGCGCTGCCGGAGGACTCCGCTCCTTCCTCTATAGCTCTCCTCTCCTGAAATACTCTGCGCTGCTGGAGGACTCCGCTCCTTCCTCTATAACTCCTCTCCTGAAATACTCTGCTCTGCTGGAGGACTCCTCTCCTTCCTCTATAACTCTCTCTCCTGAAATACTCTGCTCTGCTGGAGGACTCCGCTCCTTCCTCTATAGCTCTCCTCTCCTGAAATACTCTGCTCTGCTGGAGGACTCCGCTCCTTCCTCTATAACTCCTCTCCTGAAATACTCTGCGCTGCTGGAGGACTCCGCTCCTTCCTCTATAACTCTCATCTCCTGAAATACTCTGCACTGCTGGAGGACTCTGCTCCTTCCTCTATAACTCTCCTCTCCTGAAATACTCTGCGCTGCTGGAGGACTCCGCTCCTTCCTCTATAGCTCTCTTCTCCTGAAATACTCTGCGCTGCTGGAGGACTCCGCTCCTTCCTCTATAGCTCTCTTCTCCAGAAATACTCTGCGCTGCCGGAGGACTCCGCTCCTTCCTCTATAACTCCTCTCCTGAAATACTCTGCGCTGCTGGAGGACTCCGCTCCTTCCTCTATAACTCTCCTCTCCTGAAATACTCTGCACTGCTGGAGGACTCCGCTCCTTCCTCTATAACTCTCCTCTCCTGAAATACTCTGCGCTGCTGGAGGACTCCGCTCCTCCTCTATAACTCCTCTCCTGAAATACTCTGCGCTGCCGGAGGACTCCGCTCCTTCCTCTATAACTCTCCTCTCCTGAAATACTCTGCGCTGCCGGAGGACTCCGCTCCTTCCTCTATAACTCTCTCTCCTGAAATACTCTGCGCTGCTGGAGGACTCCGCTCCTTCCTCTATAACTCTCTTCTCCTGAAATACTCTGCTCTGCTGGAGGACTCCGCTCCTTCCTCTATAACTCCTCTCCTGAAATACTCTGCGCTGCTGGAGGACTCCGCTCCTTCCTCTATAACTCTCCTCTCCTGAAATACTCTGCCCTGCTGGAGGACTCCGCTCCTTCCTCTATAACTCTCCTCTCCTGAAATACTCTGCTGCTCTGCTGGAGGACTCCGCTCCTTCCTCTATAACTCCTCTCCTGAAATACTCTGCTCTGCTGGAGGACTCCGCTCCTTCCTCTATAACTCTCCTCTCCTGAAATACTCTGCGCTGCTGGAGGACTCCGCTCCTTCCTCTATAACTCCTCTCCTGAAATACTCTGCACTGCTGGAGGACTCCGCTCCTTCCTCTATAACTCTCTCTCCTGAAATTCTCTGCGCTGCTGGAGGACTCCGCTCCTTCCTCTATAAACACTCCTCTCCTGAAATACTCTGCGCCGCTGGAGGACTCCGCTCCTTCCTCTATAACTCCTCTCCTGAAATACTCTGCGCTGCTGGAGGACTCCGCTCCTTCCTCTAAAACTCTCCTCTCCTGAAATACTCTGCACTGCCGGAAGACTCCGCTCCTTCCTGTATAACTCCTCTCCTGAAATACTCTGCGCTGCCGGAGGACTCCGCTCCTTCCTCTATAACTCCTCTCCTGAAATACTCTGCGCTGCTGAAGGGCTCTGCTCCTTCCTCTATAACTCTCCTCTCCTGAAATACTCTGCACTGCTGGAGGACTCTGCTCCTTCCTCTGAAATACTCTGCGCTGCTGGAGGACTCGCCTCCTTCCTCTATAACTCTCCTCTCCTTCCTCTATGACTCTCCTCTCCTTCCATTGTGTAACATTGGTGTGTGTTTGTTCCAGGCGGTGGGAGTCCATTGTTTGCACGGGTTCGGTCGGACCGGCACCATGTTGGCGTGTTTCCTGGTCAGGACGAGGAAGATCACCGGAGTGGACGCCATCAATGAAATTCGCCAGCTGCGCCGCGGATCCATCGAGACCACCGAGCAGGAGAAATCGGTGATCCAGTTTCACCATCACATCAAGTAACTGGAGGATCGTCTCCCCGGCCGTTCATCGATGCAAAGCCAGCTTTATTGACTGTATCAGTTCCATTAAAAGTAACACTTTAGTATTCTCTGGAAACCAATCAGTGAGCGGCTCTCTGTGTCCTTTATTATTTATTTCAGTTTCTGGGTGGAGTCAGCGCCAGGCTTCATATGTGTCTGAGATGCTGCAACAATGAGAGCTCCGGCCATCATTGCTGACCACCGGGACGTTTGGTGGGAACCCCTCATAATGGACACGGCGGGTGTACAGACCCGGGAACTCCGCACAGGGATGGTGGGAACCCCTCATAATGGACACAGCGAGTGTACAGACCCGGGAACTCAGCACAGGATGGTGGGAACCCCTCATAATGGGCACAGCGGGTGTGCAGACCCGGGAACTCAGCACAGGGATGGTGGCAACCCCTCATAATGGGCACGGCGGGTGTACAGACCCGGGAACTCCGCACAGGGATGGTGGGAACCCCTCATAATGGACACAGCGAGTGTACAGACCCGGGAACTCAGCACAGGGATGGTGGGAACCCCTCATAATGGGCACAGTGGGTGTGCAGACCCGGGAACTCAGCACATGGATGGTGGGAACCCCTCATAATGGGCACAGCGGGTGTTCAGGCCCGGGAACTCAGCACATGGATGGTGGGAACCCCTCATAATGGGCAAAGCGTGTGTGCAGACCCGGGAACTCAGCACAGGGATGGTGGGAACCCCTCATAATGGACACAGCGAGTGTACAGACCCGGGAAACTCAGCACAGGGATGGTGGGAACCCCTCATAATGGGCTTAGTGGGTGTACAGGCCCGGGAACTCAGCGCAGGGACGGTGGGAACCCCTCATAATGGGCACAGCGGGTGTGCAGACTCGGGAACTCAGCACAGGGATGGTGGGAACCCCTCATATTGGGCACAGCGGGTGTACAGACCGGGAACTCAGCACAGGGATGGTGGGAATCCCTCATAATGGGCACAGCGGGCGTACAGGCCCGGGAACTCAGCGCAGGGACGGTGGGAGCCCCTCATATAATGGGCACAGCGGGTGTACAGACCCGGGAAACTCAGCACAGGGATGGTGGGAATCCCTCATAATGGGCTTAGTGGGTGTACAGGCCCGGGAACTCAGCGCAGGAACGGTGGGAACCCCTCATAATGGGCTTAGTGGGTGTACAGGCCCGGGAACTCAGCGCAGGGACGGTGGGAACCCCTCATAATGGGCACAGCGGGTGTACAGACCTGGGAACTCAGCACAGGGACCGTGGGAACCCCTCATAATGGGCACAGCGGGTGTTCAGACCCGGGAACTCAGCACATGGATGGTGGGAACCCCTCATAATGGGCACAGCGGGTGTTCAGGCCCGGGAACTCAGCACATGGATGGTGGGAACCCCTCATAATGGGCAAAGCGTGTGTGCAGACCCGGGAACTCAGCACAGGGATGGATGGAACCCCTCATAATGGGCAAAGCGTGTGTGCAGACCCGGGAACTCAGCACAGGGATGGCGGGAACCCCTCATAATGGGCAAAGCGTGTGTGCAGACCCGGGAACTCAGCACAGGGATGGCGGGAACCCCTCATAATGGGCAAAGCGTGTGTGCAGACCCGGGAACTCAGCACAGGGATCTCATCTGAGCAGCAGGAAAGACTAAACTCTGCACCAAACAGCAAAATATGAGTTCTGGGTGGACTGACCTTTGAATTATCTTTTTTTATCCAGTGTTTGTTGGATTGCTCCTACTCCCAGCTACTGACATATTTCAGGCACTGGGGAGAGGCTTAAGTAGTTTTAGGTGTCAGGGGGAACTTTGACACATAGGGAAGTAATAAGAGACTAAGAGGATGGTGTCACACTCTTTCGAGTATAGCAGCTACATGGTATCAGAATTAAACATTGACTGGCTGCAAGGGCAAAAGGCTCCTAATGAGACCACGGATGGTGTCCTGGGGGATCTCCTCCCAGATCTGGACCAGGACATCACTGAGCTCCTGGACAGTCTGAGGTGTAACCTGGTGGGTCATTCAATGGTATCAATTCCATCATCCTCCAGGAACTGCCCTGCATGCTCTCCCCCACATGAGGCCGGGTATTGTCGTTCACCAGGAGGAACCCAGGACCCACTGCACCAGGAGGAACCCAGGACCCACTGCACCAGTGTAGGGTGTGACAATGGGTCCAAGGATTTCATACCTAATGGCAGTCAGGGTGCCATTGTGTAGCCTGTAGAGGTCTGTGTGTCCCTCCATGGATATGCCCCCCCAGACCATCACTGACCCACCACCAACGGTCATACTGAACCATGTTACAGGCAGCAGAACATTCTCCACGGCTTCTCCAGAACCTTTCACGTCTGTCACGTGTGCTCAGGGTGAACCTGCTCTCATCTGTGAAAAGCACAGGGTGCCAGTGGTGGACCTGCCAATTCTGGGGTTCAATGGCAAATACCAATCCAGCTCTATGGTGCGGGCAATGAGCACAGGGCCCACTAGAGGACGTCGGGCCCTCAGGCCACCCTCATGAAATCTGTTTCTGATTGTTTGGTCAGAGATATTCCCACCAGTGGCCTGCTGGAGGTCATTTTGTAGGGTTCTGGCAGGGATCATCCTGTTCCTCCTTGCACAAAGGAGCAGATACCGGTCCTGCTGATGGGGTAAGGACCTTCTACAGCCCTGTCCAGCTCTCCTAGAGGAACTGCCTGTCTCCTGGAATCTCCTCCATGCTCTTGTCTCCTGGAATCTCCTCCATGCTCTTGTCTCTTGGAATCTCCTCCATGCTCTTGTCTCCTGGAATCTCCTCCGTGCTCTTGTCTCCTGGAATCTCCTCCATGCTCTTGTCTCCTGGAATCTCCTCCGTGCTCTGTGTCTCCTGGAATCTCCTCCATGCTCTTGTCTCCTGGAATCTCCTCCATGTTCTCGTCTCCTGGAATCTCCTCCATGCTCTTGTCTCCTGGAATCTCCTCCATGCTCTTGTCTCCTGGAATCTCCTCCATGCTCTCGTCTCTTGGAATCTCCTCCATGTTCTCGTCTCCTGGAATCTCCTCCATGTTCTCGTCTCCTGGAATCTCCTCCATGCTCTCGTCTCTTGGAATCTCCTCCATGTTCTCGTCTGCTGGAATCTCCTCCATGCTCTCGTCTCCTGGAATCTCCTCCATGCTCTTGTCTCCTGGAATCTCCTCCATGCTCTTGAGACGGTGCTGGGAGACACAGCAAACCTTCTGGCAATGGTACATATTGATGGGCCATCCTGGAGGAGTTGGACTGCCTGTGCAACCTCTGTAGGGTCCAGGTATGGCCTCATCCTACCAGTAGTGACACTGACCCCAGCCAAATGCAAAACGAGTGAAAAACAGTCAGAAAAGATGAGTAGGGAAACAAATGTCACCTGTAAAACCATTCCTGTTTTGGGGGTCGTCGATTGTTGCCCATCTAGTGTACCTGTTGGTAATTTCATGAACACCAAAGTAGCTGAAACTGATGAACAACCCCCTCTGCGACTTACCTGACCAGATCCATATCCCAGGAGCTTCACTGACCTGATGCTAGACTCGGATTGCAAAGAATTTTTTTTTAACACTGTAGATAGATTAAACACAGCTCCAATTTTTCCCACCCATAGCCTGATCCTGGTGAAGGAAATAGGACTTGTTCCAGGGACTCCTAATCCGGCTTTTTACATATGGATCGGGCATTACACATCACATGACCAGACAGGGGATTTGACCTCTTCCGCATGGCTGAGTATATACATCGGGATTATTGGGTATTGGCCGTTGTGTGACACCAGCCTCTGCTGCCATTATATCCGAACCAAGCCTGACACCTCTACAATGCAATACCATGTCCATCTCTTCGTTTTTACATTTTTAGATGGTAAAGATCTTAAAGTGTACCTAAACAAAAATGTGATTTATATAGCATTTCCCACTTTGGGAAATGCTAGTTGCCTGGCTCTTATGCTCATTAAACGGCTTCAGTGCTAAGTTCCACCAGGCATTGGAACTTCCCGCAGTATGAATGGGCTCTGCCTGTGGAGGTCCCCGGAAACCCTCATATCTCACTGGTGAAGTTCATGGAGTTTTTCTTTGAAGAAGTGATTTCCAGACCTGGGAGCTGTGGTCAGGCTGTCATGTTTAGGTTTCCACATCTCTGAACTCTGTGTGCGATGCTGATCCAGCCAAATGCATTGAACTTCCAGCAACCTCTCTGGGTGAGGACAAAGGCCGAGTGGGAAACAAACAGAGGCTCACCGCGAACAAAGAAAGATCCAGCTAAGCGATAGTAATGTGATTTTAGAAACAGGAGGTGTATGCCAATAATATCTTACTGTTCTCTACCCATTACCCAATCCCTCCGCTTCTCCATAACAATCCCCCTTCTGAACCCATATCACTCCATCCCTCTCTCCTCAACAACTGTCCCTCTTCTAGTCCCAGATCCTTCCATTCCTCTCTCCTCCACAACTGTCCTTCTTCTAGTCCCAGATCCTTCCATTCCTCTCACCTCCATAACTGTCCTTCTTCTGGTACTAGATTCTTCCATCCCTCTCTCCTCAACAAGTGTCCCTCTTCTGAACCCATATCTCTCCATTCCTCTCTCCTCAACAAGTGTCCCTCTTCTGCTTCCAGATCCTTCCATCTTTCTCTCCTCCACAACTTTCCCTCTTCTGAACCCATATCTCTCCATTCCTCTCTCCTTCACAACGTTCCCTCTTCTGGTATATCCTTCCATCCCTCTTTACTCTACAACTTTCCCTCTTCTGGTCCCATATCCTTCCATCCCTCTCTCCTTCACAACTGTCCGTCTTCTGTCCCAGATCCTTCCATCTCTCTCTCCTCCACAACGTTCCCTCTTCTGGTATATCCTTCCATCCCTCTTTACTCTACAACTTTCCCTCTTCTGGTCCCTAATCCTTCCATCCCTCTCTCCTCCACAACTTTCCTTCTTCTGGTCCCATATCCTTCCATCCCTCTCTCCTCCACAACATTCCTC